GCATGCGAAGAAAGACGCCATGTTGGATTCACTTGATGCCAAGGAACGTACCTACGATAACACGATAACAGTACGAATGGTATTACTTTCACGATCAAAGGTGAATCTTACGTTTGCTTTCATTGTAATTGTATGGATATTCTTTATTAATAAATACATGATCCAAAATCCTGGGTTTTTAGTGTATAATGTTATGTTATCTATTGTTTACGCAATTGTCTTGTGGGCTAATTTCTATGTGAAGTTGTTGATTTCTTCAGCAAAAGCTGCCGTGAATAGCTTCGATGAATGTAACGTAATTGAGAAATCTGCTCAGTTATCTGTTATTGTACATGATGAGAAGCTTACAAATAGCTATGATGAAGCATTTTCAGTAAATACAGTCTGTAACTGTAGATCTCGATACGACAAATTTGTTTATTTAAATCGCCTTCGTACGCATAGTATTCGTGTTCGTGATCGTGAGCCAAGCAGAATACTAAAGAAAAGAACTACACGTATTTTGAAGATATCGAGGAAAGTAAGACGTTTACTTCGAACCTACATCAGAAAAAGCATACCGAAGTCTTCCCGAATGCATCTTTTTACAAATAAAGCTCGTGAAAAATACATGCACATGGAATCAAATGTGGGAATAAAGGAACAACGAAATATCCCTCTTCTGCAGTCAGGAGAAAATATCCAAAGTCAAACAAATACAGGATACTGAAAATGCAAAACCAATACCCACATGTAATACAAAGTCCAAAGCCAAAGCAGTCAAATGCATAGAGGTCTAATTCAGTACCAAATGTATACAAAAATCTGAATCACAGGGTAAATCATTTTATGTCCAATCTGTCTGGGGATATGGAAGCAATTATTAATTCCACTAAAAAAATTCAAGCTTACAGTCAAGACAATGTGGCAATGTTTGGGTTAAATGCTGGTACACAGTATGTAGCCATGTCACTAGCTTTCCTCATATATTACAAGAGGAATGGTATTGTATCCTCAATGGACTTGGTTAATATCATGAATATTGGTATTGAATTGTATTCTGGTCTATCTAGTCTATCCCAGCAATCCTATTTACTGTTAACAGATGTACCTGAAATGATAATAGTGTTTAATACTAATTATCAGCTTCAATATAGTCCAAGCTATACTGATACTATACATGGTACTTATGAAGTACAAGATTTCAATTATTGTAAGTCATTTGCTAATGCTATGCAGGCTTTGCTAGGACAAAATTACAATTTCTTTCTTTTAAGAGTCCTTAGTACTACGGTAGGTTTTTACTGTAATGGTGATGGTAAGTTTAAGATATTTGATTCTCATGGTAGAGATTCATATGGTTTGCCCCATCCTCAAGGAACTTGTGTACTGTTAGAAGTTAACACTTTAAATGAGCTGATAAACTCTTTTCAAGGTCTTTTTCAAAATCCAAATGTTTTATTTGAACTCAAAGGTGTACATATTAATGAAAAAACAATGTGATATAACATATTTCTGATCAACAGTTGTCAGCTGACCCCCTCAAAGCAAATTATGCAGATGCTGAAACTACAACCATTCATATTCACTTGTTATGATGTTGTGCCACATCTTTTTATAACATTTGTTTTCCCATTATCAAATATTGTGGGTATTAGAATTCACAGACACTGGATAGAATCACTGACCATGCAAACAAGTTTTACAAAGAAAAACTCAGTGGCAATAACCATCCACTGACTATCAACAATTTCCCAAGGACACTTCATATGAAGCAGATATCAATATTGCCTTTAATTTGGAGAAGCAAGGAATACTATGGTGTACATCTCTTGGTAGCAAATTATTGCTCCAGAAGTTAATCACAGATAATATTAAAGATAATACTGGGTTTTAAATGTGGATTTCAAATTACTGCTTCAGCTGTAATTTTCAGCACAATAATATGAAAACAAAAGCAAAAAGTGTTAAGTACTATATTATATGATTCAGTCCTAATGGCACACTTGATATATTTGAAGAAATGAATGACATAGATTTTCTTATTCAGTCACTAGTGGATATTGTAAAAAAACAATTCCAGAGTAGAGATGTAGAATATTATATTACATTTATATGTTGTTCAACTAATTTGTCAAATGCTGGAAGACAAAAGGTAATTGCAAAACATAAGTCTCGTAGTCAGAAAGAACTACATGCAAAAAGGAAAAAAGAAAGCTATGCAACAAATGGAACCTGCAGAGAAAAAAAAAATTGTCTGATAGAGCAATATGGTACAAGTCACTGGATCCTGCAGAAAAGAAAAGCTTTTTTCTCACAGAGCTGAGTGGTATAAATCACTGGATCCCTAAGAAAAAGAAAAGCTTTTGTCCAAATCAGCAGATTGGTATAAATCACTTGGTTCTGCAGAAAAACAAAATCTTTCGTCTCGCAGAGAAATTTGGTATAAATCACTGGATACTGCACAAAAACAAAAGAGAGCAGCATGGTTGAACTCTCTCAATTCTGCACAAAAACGAAAAAGATCAGAATAGTATAAGTCATTGAATCCTGAAGAAAAAGAAGAACTTTTATCTGGCAGAGCAGAATAGTGTAAAACACTGGATACTGCAGGAAAAGATAAGATATCAAACGTCCAAGCTAATAAGGAAGCCCATAGAAACTCAGTTCAACATGATTTAGATCATAAGATCACAGCTTTTCAAAGTAACATTAGGGAAGGTTCACATTATATTTGCTCTGTTTAAAACAACATTATACAGAAAAACTGTTATCCAGTTAAAACGTTAAATGTGCAACACTCAGCAAGAGCTATTTACTGAGTTGTATACCCAAGATTCCTTTCCGTCTTGGAATGACCTATCACCTGATGACAACCTTTTTTGAGCTTACTATTTCAGTATACTATTCCGACACCCGGTAGTATCACTACACTTGATTTCAAGGATCCAGTACCATTGGGTATCCCAGTTACCCTGCTCACAGGGTTTAGTTAAAATTAAGTTTTCTCTGATCATTTACCACATGGATATGAAGAACATGATGATAGGTTCTTAAAATAGTCTCCTTGATTTAGAAGTGTTCTGCTAATTCTATGTAAGTACTACATGACTGTGATCTACAAAGATCGAACTGAATATTCAATTTAGGGCACAAGAGTAATATAAATTCTTTACTGTATAGCAGAAGAACAGCCTCTTCAAATTTTATCTTTACTCATCTGAAGGCCACAACAGCGCTACTATATGTCACGATTTTCTATATGAGAATAGGCGGCTGTACTAAGTCTACTGTTCAATTGTGACTCTGCGATCATAGGCCAGAAATATCTATGTTCCGAGGGGATTCTATCTTCAACTGAAAAGAGCAGTGAGAAGAATAGAACCAAATCAACACACACTATTTCCTATGTCATTAACAATTTCTTCCCTGTCTTCTCCTTCTCTCTCTTCAGTTTCTTTCTCAAAGCTCACACTTTGGCTATCAAATGCTCTATTTTCAAACTTCAAACCTTGAAGTTCAAGATATGCAGGCGATTGGCCTTCGGAAGACATCGAGTGGAGTTGAAGACAAGGTCCTGAAGAAGACGCAAGTTGCTCATACGAAGAGTCGAGAGGACCCATGACATCATAGACGAGTCTGTTCAGATCGTTTGTTTTGTCATTTAGTTCGATTCCAGCTCTTCTATACTTCCACTTGTATACTAGTACGCCAATGACAGCCAACAACACACAAAAAACACAAAGCACAACGATAACAGCAACAGGGAAGTTGCTTTGTTTACCTAATTCAAAGAATAAAGAAGGAAATTGTTATCAATTAACAGTTTCGAACAAACTACACTTGAAGTAAGCCGTATGATATGAACAGCATGCGACAAAACAAGTCTTTTTGTTTATCTCGAATTAACGTGCACACATGTAAATAACAAACGAGACATATAATGTTCCAAAAATTTAAATAAAGAAAAAAGAAGAGAGAAGGGGGGTGGCTATCATCTTGCCGTGTTACCTCACGTGAGCAACGGGTAACAGTGGGGTGACTTGCGATGGACCACTAATTCAACAAGGAAAAGAACCAATATTTGAACAGCAAATTCATATAGCGCCACGTTGGCTATTTGATGTACCAAAGTACTTGATAGGTAAAGACTTCGCTACATGAGGAACAAAAAAAGTACTGATTTCCAACTTACCAGTCACGATCAAAGATGTAGCTGAATGGCTCACTCCAAAACTGTTCGATGCTGTACATTCATAGACACCGCTATCACGAGGTATCACGTCCCTGATAACAAGTACCTTGCCATCATTGTTAAAGTTAGCCCGTGGTATACTGGTATCTCCATCTTTACTCCACGTAACAGAAGGTTGTGGATCTCCGCTGGCCTCACATGTCAACTCTGCCTTTTCACCAACAATTATAGTTGTCTTTTCTGGTAGTTCCTTGACCACGGGCTTATCTGCCATGATTATATTACAAGACATTCCGTTTTCAATTCAAAACACCTAAAAAACAAGCTATACTCTGACACCTACTTAACTTATCATTGAAAATTCTGAGTCCCCATGAGGAATAGATTGCTCAAGGGGACTCAGAATATTTTCTTTGTACCACGTTCGTGACAAGACGAAAAAACATCTTTCTCTATTCTTTACCGAGCTAAAAACACCATCTCTCTTATTCCATAAATCTATCATCATACCTGATTTCCTTTACTTACAAAACTGTAAGTAAATATCCATCATGAATAGAGAAAGCCACAGAACCACTAAAATAAATGCAAAATCGTACGGTACCTTTAGTTTTCAGCGCTATGAAACTGCTTGAGGTATACAGCGTCTGCAAAGACAGCCCATAAAAACGTCATAAGCGAAATTCCTTGGGCAAAATGGATTCAAACATGTACAAAAAAATTAAGGACAACTCTTTTTCTGAAGATAAACCCATCGTATGTTCTTTGTGACTAGTAAATTAATACGATGTATTAATGAAAGCAGCCCATGCACAATACGACATCATGTCGTACTTTGCTGTAGTACTTCCCCTCTATACGGCCTACATCAATGACCTGATATAAGCAATTTGGAGAGTAGAAAATAGTGCGGGATTGCCTTTTTTTTTCTTTTACATCGCTCTCTGAACGGTCCGGAAAACTCGCCCCACTCTCTCGACCAATCAGATGTAAAACTAAAAGCA